AAGCAAACGTCTCGCTTTGATGATTTTGTTATCGTGTCAATAAATTGCAGGTGCTCTCTGCAATATGCTTTGCACATTTTTTTTAAAATATTTGCTTCTACAAAAGAGTCTTTGAGTAGAAAAAAGGTAATGAAGTAAGTGGAATGGCGAGGGTATCGATAAATTGGCCTAGAGTGATTCACTGAGTGAAGAAGAAGAATCGTGAGAGAAGAAAAAAATGAAATAGAGATATGAGTGGAAGGCGTAGATAGTGGTGAATTGAGAGAAAGAGAGAGATAGAGAGAGAGAATGAGAGAGAAAAGAGACTATATAAGGAATTATAGAGTGGTTGGAAGAAAGATAGGAAGTAAGAGTAAGTAACGTATAAGGACGGCGAGGAAGCGGGAAACGAAGAGAGTTACGCAATAGAGAAATTACAAACGAGGCCAAGAGGAAAGCAAAAAAGAAAAAAAGCAGGAAAGTGAAGAAGAAGAAGAAGAAGAAGAAGAAGAAGAACTTGTTCTAAATAACATCTTAAAGGAAGGAGTAAACAGGAACAAACGCGAGAAGAATATAAATGAGGAAAGAAGGAGCTTTAAAAATAAAATGTTGATGAAGGAAAGATAGGAATGAAATTAAGAAAAAGAATACCACTAAGGACAGAAGAAGAAGAAGAAGAAGAAGAAGAAGAAGAAGAAGAAGAGGAAGAAGGACAACAACAACAATAACAGTAAGAGGGTATAAATAACATCAAGAGGAAGGAAGGAAGGAAATTTAAAACAAGAAAATACCTTTGGAAAGAAGAAGTTAAAGATACATCATCTTAAGGAAAGACAGAAACGTGAAGAAGAAGAAGAAGAAAAAGAAGAAGAAGAAGAAGCTTTAAAACCCTTTTCACGAAGGAAAGATAGGGACGAAATTGCGAAGAAAATAACATAGGAAAAAAGATGAACTAAAGAAAAAGACATTATAAAAATCTGTAAATTGAAAGAAATTGGGAAGAAAATATCTTTGGAAAGAAGAAGAAGATGAAGAAGGAGAAGAGGAAGAAGAAGAAGAAGAAGAAGAAGAAGAATGAACAACAACAACAAAAATTAGAAGTTCTGAAAAACACAATCTTAACTCTTTGAAACCTGACCTCCGCTTTATCGCTTAGAGAAAATGACTTAATGCCCAGCCACCGGTTGAAGAACGGTAGAGAAAAAATGACGTAATGCCCAGACACCGTTGAACAGTGGTAGAGAAAAATGACGTAATGCCCAGCCACCGGTTGAACAGTGGTAGAGAAAATGACGTAATGCCCAGCGACCGGTTGAACAGTGGTAGAGAAAAAAAAATGACGTAATGCCCAGCCACCGGTTGAACAGTGGTAGAGAAAATGACGTAATGCCCAGCCACCGGTTGAACAGTGGTAGAGAAAAATGACGTAATGCCCAGCCACCGTTGAACAGTGGTAGAGAAAAATGATGTAATGCCCATCCACCGGTTGAACTGTGGTAGAGAAAATGACGTAATGCCCAGCCACCGTTGAACAGTGGTAGAGAAAATGACGTAATGCCCAGCGGCCGGTTGAACAGTGGTAGAGAAAAAATGACGTAATGCCCAGCCACCGGTTGAACAGTGGTAGAGAAAATGACGTAATGCCCAGCCACCGGTTGAACAGTGGTAGAGAAAAATGACGTAATGCCCAGCCACCGGTTGAACAGTGGTAGAGAAAATGACGTAATGCCCATCCCACCGTTGAACAGTGGTAGAGAAAATGACGTAATGCCCAGCCACCGGTTGAACAGTGGTAGAGAAAAATGACGAATGCCCAGCCACCGGTTGAACAGTGGTAGAGAAAATGACGTAATGCCCAGCCACTGGTTGAACAGTGGTAGAGAAAATGACGTAATGCCCAGCCACTGGGTTGAACAGTGGTAGAGAAAAATGACGTAATGCCCATCCACCGGTTGAACAGTGGTAGAGAAAAATGACGTAATGCCCATCCACCGTTGAACAGTGGTAGAGAAAAATGACGTAATGCCCAGCCACCGTTGAACAGTGGTAGAGAAAATGACGTAATGCCCAGCCACTGGTTGAACAGTGGTAGAGAAAATGACGTAATGCCCAGCCACCGGTTGAACAGTGGTAGAGAGAAAATGACGAATGCCCAGCCACTGGTTGAACAGTGGAAGAGAAAATGACGTAATGCCCATCCACCGGTTGAACAGTGGTAGAGAAAATGACGTAATGCCCAGCCACTGGTTGAACAGTGGTAGAGAAAATGACGTAATGCCCAGCCACCGGTTGAACAGTGGTAGAAAAAAATGACGTAATGCCCAGCCACTGGTTGAACAGTGGTAGAGAAAATGACGTAATGCCCAGCCACTGGTTGAACAGTGGTAGAGAAAAATGACGTTATGCCCAGCCACCGGTTGAACAGTGGTAGAGAAAATGACGTAATGCCCAGGTTGAACAGTGGTTGAGAAAAACAGTGGTAGAGAAAATGACGTAATGCCCAGCCACCGGTTGAACAGTGGTAGAGAAAAAAAATGCCCAGCCACCGTTGAAAGTGGTAGAAAAATGACGTAATGCCCAGCCACGGTTGAACAGTGGTAGAGAAAAATGACGAATGCCCAGCCACCGGTTGAACAGTGGTAGAGAAAATGACGTAATGCCCAGCCACCGGTTGAACAGTGGTAGAGAAAATGACGAATGCCCAGCCACCGGTTGAACAGTGGTAGAGAAAAATGACGTAATGCCCAGCCACGGTTGAACAGTGGTAGAGAAAAATGACGTTATGCCCAGCCACCGTTGAACAGTGGTAGATGCCCAGCCACGGTTGAACAGTGGTAGAGAAAAATGCCCAGCCACCGGTTGAACAGTGGTAGAGAAAAATGACGTAATGCCCAGCCACCGGTTGAACAGTGGTAGAGAAAAAATGACGTAATGCCCAGCCACCGGTTGAACAGTGGTAGAGAAAATGACGTAATGCCCAGCCACTGGTTGAACAGTGGTAGAGAAAATGACGTAATGCCCAGCCACCGTTGAACAGTGGTAGAGAAAAATGACGAATGCCCAGCCACCGTTGAACAGTGGTAGAGAGAAAATGACGTAATGCCCAGCCACCGTTGAACAGTGGTAGAGAAATGACGTAACGCCCAGCCACCGGTTGAACAGTGGTAGAGAGAAAAATGACGTAATGCCCAGCCACCGGTTGAACAGTGGTAGAGAAAATGACGTAATGCCCAGCCACCGTTGAACAGTGGTAGAGAAAATGACGTAATGCCCAGCCACCGGTTGAACAGTGGTAGAGAAAAAATGACGTAATGCCCAGCCACCGGTTGAACAGTGGTAGAGAAAAATGACGAGAAAATGCCCAGCCACCGGTTGAACAGTGGTAGAGAAAATGACGTAATGCCCAGCCACCGGTTGAACAGTGGTAGAGAAAAATGACGTAATGCCCAGCCACCGTTGAACAGTGGAGAAAAATGACGTAATGCCCAGCCACCGGTTGAACAGTGTGAAAAATGACGAATGCCCAGCCACTGGTTGAAAGTGGTGAGAAAAAATGCCCAGCCAGCCACCGTTGAACAGTGGTAGAGAAAAATGACGAATGCCCAGCCACCGGTTGAACAGTGGTAGAGAAAAAATGACGTAATGCCCAGCCACCGTTGAACAGTGGTAGAGAAAATGACGAATGCCCAGCCACCGGTTGAACAGTGGTAGAAAAAATGACGTAATGCCCAGCCACCGTTGAACAGTGGTAGAGAAAATGACGTTATGCCCAGCCACCGGTTGAACAGTGGTAGAGAAAAATGACGTAATGCCCAGCGACCGGTTGAACAGTGGTAGAGAAAATGACGTAATGCCCAGCCACCGGTTGAACAGTGGTAGAGAAAATGACGTAATGCCCAGCCACGGGGTTGAACAGTGGTAGAGAAAAATGACGTAATGCCCAGCCACCGTTGAACAGTGGTAGAGAAAAATGACGTAATGCCCAGCCACCGGTTGAACAGTGGTAGAGAAAAATGACGTAATGCCCAGCCACCGGTTGAACAGTGGTAGAGAAAAATGACGTAATGCCCAGCCACCGTTGAACAGTGGTAGAGAAAAAATGACGTAATGCCCAGCCACTGGTTGAACAGTGGTAGAGAAAAAATGACGTAATGCCCAGCCACTGGTTGAACAGTGGTAGAGAAAAATG